CACACATGCTTTGATTTTTGTTTTTGTGAGTTTGCAGTTTGTAGTTTGGTAGTTGTTAGTCCAAACAGTTCTTTAATGTGTACCTTTGCTCGTTGGGAAGATTAGTTACTGTTTTCAGACCTTTGCACATTGGCAAGGTTATTTCCTGTTTTTGTAGGCTGTTTTTGTACCTTTTTGTACAGTTGCAACGGCAGTGCCTTTGGTTGCACGTTGTGGATTGTGAAATTAAATCAGCTGATGGCAGCTATACATGTCGACCTGCCACATTTGCCCCCAAAAAGTGACTTGCTCTTGTGCCTGACATTCATTCTGCAATCGTGAACAGAACTAACTGAGACAAATTCAAGAATATCTTCATTTTCCAGTTGTTATGGCTAAATTCCAAAATGTTATCAAATGAATGGTGATTAACCTATGTCTCCTCATGCTGTGCTGTTTTAGGTAACACAGGAATCGTTTCTGTTGGTTTTCAGACCAAAACACTGTTGATTAGGGCTAGGAAAAGGGGTAACTCTGATGTGGTTTGATCACATAGTAATATTGTGTACAATAGACCATATGCATATTCTCTGTATTGGGCTGGAACTAGCTTGCAACTGAGGCTAATGCAGAAAGTCTTCTAATACAAATGAAATCAATCTCTTTTTAATTACATTCCCCTGCATGAGCCTCCATCACAAGCTAGTTCTAGTCTAATACTGAGAATACAAATAAGGACTGAAAATGTTGATAAAACTGTCTCAACAGTTTTGACCCGGGGGGGTGGGGACTCCCATATGGAATGGACGAATGGACGGGGATGCTCGTTGTCTCACTTAGGGGTGTAAATTTCGGATTTTGGTCTCGCTTAGGGTGTTCTGGGCGAAATGTCATTATTTTTAGCCGTCAAGGTCTCGTTAAGGGTTGCATGCGAAGAAATAACAAAACAGAAAGAATTTTGATTCGTTATATTTACTCAATTGATATAAACAAATTCGCCATCATTAAAAGTCACTGTACTTTTTATTTGTCTGTT